AGCTTCAAGTCATCAGACTTCATCCCCTCGAGACCATGAATGTCAATAACTTTCACTGAAATCCATCATGTGTTGAGGTAGATCTCCAGGAGTGACAGCGCTACATCAACAGAGCCACGGCAATATATAAAAGCCACATCAATGTAAACAGTTTTCAAAAACATCAGCTCCCACAGCGTCTTTCAAAACTGTCCCCTCTGTCCCCTGAGGTGGAAACGTTAGTGATGTGTCTCTGAGAGCGTTACTGAGCATGAAAAGCATACAGCGGGATATTTTCCCCACCATGATGCTCCCCAGGCTTAATGCATCGCAATGCCGTGTGCGGAGATGATTGATGTCAACACCCTCCTCTTAATCACCTGAGAGGCATGCAGCCTCTTGGCGGTCTGGGAGCCATTTTGGATTCTTCTCTAATGACTAGAGAGACAGGTTGCAGATGATGTTAGCTGACGCCGGTCTCACGGATCACTGGCGTCCTGTCAGTGATTAAGTGACTCATCTACCTCAAGTAGACAAACCCCCAGTAGAGCATCTTGTATCCATCAAAGGATGCCTTTGACTCGCTCCGCTTATCTAACTTGGAAGGAATCCATCATACCTGCACAAAACGCTGGATGCTGTGTGGTCCCTTGAGATTTGTCCCATAAACAAACACATTCTGTTCAGACTGCAGCCATACATGTGGAAAGGGAGCACGAGTCCTTGTTTTTCACATGTGTATCACTTCTGGGAGATACAGCATAAGTGAAAACATTTGATTTTTTATTATTTATTATTTGTGACCTGATTTCTGGAACTTGTACGAGAACCAACATGATAAAACTCAAAAAGCTAACAGCAACAAAAAAAAGACCATACCTTTCAAACTTTCCATTTTTAAAATAAAGCTTTTGGGAAATTGTGTTTTTGCTGCAAATTGTATCTAAAGCACATTTTCTTATCATGTCACCCAGTGAAATATAAGAAAGTAAATAGGGAAATGTTTTGAAAGTACAGCAGACAAATTGTGCTTTGAAAATGGTTAAGCTGCTTGAGACATATCATGCACTTGAAGAAACCTTTTGTCCGCCCCTATAAGGGCTAATGTGTCTCAGCGTGGGGCAGCACAGGCCGTTCTGTACAAAACACAAGCAGGGTACTTCAGTCTTTATTGATAGCTGCGCGAGTAGTGTGGTGATGTAACAGATCTTTCTTAAATTGCATAGGCAGCATTGTTGGTTCTGGACAGGGCCTGAGGCTCAGTTTGATTTTAGAAGATTAATTTAGCTTCCTCGCTTACGCAACACCATCTCAGCTTTCAAGCAGTCTCACTGATCTCAGGCTCACCTTTGACCCCTTGCATGGGCGGCGAGCTACTGAACTGCGCTCCCCTGACAGAAGCTTAGAGAGGAAACAACACAGCTCATGAAATGATCCTTAAACATCAGCATAAGACCTGTTAGTAGGAAAACTGTTTGCAGGAGGCTGCACTTAGAGGCAGCACAAGTGAAATGGCCATGATGGATAGCGTCTATAATGAATTCCTTAATGCAGTATGCAAGGTAGTAAAAGATAAAACAGACTCACAAAGGTATGAGAATCCTGTGGAGCATGCGTTTGATGAGGATTATCCACAGGCTAAAAAAAACCCCCAACAGATTGGACTGTGGCACCACTAAAATGGATGGCTTTCATGGTAGGTCATTGCTAATGAATGAAAAAACAAAAAAAATCTTCAAGAACTCAACCGTTTTGGAAAAAAACCTGTTTAGGTAATGAAACATCAATGAATTTAAGAGGCTTTGAGTTCATAAAGAAACATTCATCCTCGAAAATATAACCACAGAAATTTGTTCAAGCAAAGCAATCAAAAAAGATTTTTATCAGAAAGGCAGTGACGCACTGTGCCTCTAACACTAGTTTCTTTTATACTGTTCAAGGCACTAATGTTGGGCATTTAGTCCATGTAAAAATTATGAGCAGGGAATAGGGGGAAACAATGTTCTGCCTTCAAGGTGGCAGCATAGGTGCAGACCAGATCGACATCTGTGTAAAAGGTAGAGCTAGAATGACAGGACAGACGCTGATGCTGTTGTTTTACACGTCACGTGTCTGATTCCAGGGCACAGGGCAGCATCACGGTGGTTTTGTTTGATTCAGTAAAGTTATCTTCTTAACAAAATATCTTTTGGCGTTAGCGTCACACATTTTGACAGTTACGCTGATGTGCTGTCATGTGAGCTTGTACACTCAAGTGGAACGTTTCTCCACACAAACAAAAACAGTTCTACTTTTTGTAGGTGTTTTAGGTCCAAATGACATTTTGGGTAATCTCAAACATTTATGCAGATAAAACAAAGGCCTGCTCAAACATGATTGGTCAAGCTTGAAACGGAAACCAGACGGCTTCCTGCCCCCAAAATCTTGTCCCTCGCCACCAATTCTGCAGATTCAGATGTAGAATCTGTCAAACTCAACACAACTCATTACTATATAGTCCTCTACATAGAACGTCATATATTTCAAATTTCAAATTCCAAATTTTCAATATACAGTGAGTAGGGAAGAGTAAATGATCTTTCATTAGACACTCCCATCCTGGAAAATGGCCAGAACGTTAAACCTCTTATATCCAGTTTGTTAGAAAGCCTTTAATGCTGCAGTCTCAAGCCTAAGTCGGCCCGACCCCGATGATGTTACCAGGGAATAAAATACTGTTGAAATAAAGAAAACGTCAACTTCTGTTTTGCTACAAGAGTCGATGAAGTAGTCTTAAAAATCTTTCTTCGACCCTCAGAAGACATATACATCCATTTTACAAGCTGAATTGTATTCTCAGTGACAAGTAAAGTGATCTTCTGTAAAAACCAGTGGAGAAAACATTATCTCGCAGCCTCTGCCATGCATATTACTTAAGTCAACAGGCTTCACAATCAGCCATCAGTCATCACAACCAATTTTCTTTTATATTTTGAGCGTACACGTGTGCACATTTATCACAAAGGCCAAATCAGAGTCACCAAAACAAGCCATTCTCTACACTCCGTAGAGCTCATTCACAGCTCCATGCTCCATTTGTCTTGTGGAAAAGAAAAAACAACAACTGCAGCAGATCTGTAATTCCCAACTGGACAGATTGTGTGATAACAAGCCCACAACAGGTGAAATTTGGCTCATTTTATCAGCTGGTGTAGCATTCATTTTCAGAACCTTGTGTAAGCATCATTAAGAATCAAAATCTGCCCTTCTGCTAAAGGAAAACACGCACATGTGCCAGTCTGCAAAACCACACTTTGAAGTGTCCGCCCATATTTCAAAGACTAAGTGTCTGCTGAACTGCAGCCAACTTCTGAGACAATACCGGCTCTTTGATATATACCATGCTCTCGAGTAAGGACACTCTAGGGCTATAGAGGAAAGCTGATAGCCAAGTGATCCTTCAGCCGACTGAGGGGCCGAGGCTTTTCGGTTTAAACCATCAATGTGGGGATGAAGGTGATCGATGTGGGAAAACCAGAGTGGAAACGGTGGGATTTAAAGGGCTGCTGTCCTCATTCACAGGCAAAGATTACAAAGAAGAAAAACTACAAATAGCAGAGAAAGTTGTTTTTAGTTGTAAAGTTGAAAAAGAAAAATGCAACACATAGTTTGGTGAGCATGACTCTCGTTCTCATTGCACACGTCACATATTCAGATTTGGATTCAAAGAGTGAGACATTCCACTGGATTGATTGTCCTGGAAAAAAAACACCCCAGACATGTCATTACCTGACATCATCCCTTTTCTTGTCTGCCACAACCCTCCCCCCGCCCCCTCCCCTTGGGATGTCCGACACACTCCTCTTGTTCTTCGACATGAGCTGTGTGCTGCTCGGCACCACGAGGCCAGCGAACCCCAGATAGTCGCACTCTGGCGCTAGATACCAAACAGCCCATCACGAGATAGCGCGCCTCTCGTTGTCAAACACACCACAATAAATGAGGTTAAATGGCACTATCTACACAATATGGTGGCCTCTTCTATTTTTATTAACGGCGCTGACAGCCTCTATTCTTTTGTAGAGGGGTAGCACAGTTCTTGGAAATGGTTATAAATAGGTCCTGAGGCATCCACAAGGATCCCTATTTATCTCTTTTGCATATTTTGGTATTGTTTTCAGAAATTGGAGACAGCTGTGTGCGGCACATGATGCATTTCATAAATGCATCTCGATTTACAACACAAACGTTCTCCAGATTTTTCATCGTGGTGAAAAACTGCTGTTAGTGATTGTGGAGGACCTGTTTCCTTCTAATTTCTTTCATGTAATGACCCTTTTAACAGTGCGGAGAACTTGTTTGAATGGATTTCAGACATTCTGAAATGTTCCCGCTTTTGGGAGATTTCTCTGATACAAACGACCGTGGTAACTTTACAATCTACTTAATCTCCCACCATCTTTTTCCACTGAGCTATTTGGTGGGTGTGGGAAAAGCAAGGCCGCTGTTCGAACATCCCCTGTAACTGCTCACAGTGGAGAGAACATCAGAAGCACACGATTTCCAGGGGTGATATGTGATCTAATTCAAAATATTCATAATTCACCAATAGACGATTCAAACAACTCTTCTCAGTAAGGACCTGGTTACCTGGAGGTTGTGTTGTCACCGCTGTCTGTTTGTCTGTTGGTTGGTTGAACATGGGCCGAGGAAGAATCCATTGAAATTTGGTGTGAGTGCGAATAAGGAAAAGATCAAGGAACTCTTTTTTTTCACTTTTAATGCTATTGTGAGATAAAACCGTTTTGGTTGCACAATTTTGTTAATTTCTCTGAGATCTTGATTAAAAATGTGACATATTTTGGGGACTTATATTTTTAGGTTTGTGCACCCTTTTGCTGGTTCATCCACTTCCCGATATCGATAACCTAATCATAATCCTGTACCCCGGTGTTGCTTGATTGAGTTTGAGGGGGCTGTTGTGCCTTGGCAGAGGTATGAGCTCTCCTGAGTGACATCTAAGTTCTGAACGTATTACTCACCTAGCAGCTGGACCCCTCTGGTGAGACCGTAGATGTCTATGAGAGCCCACAGGGGTTCAGAGACGTGCACGCCGCTAAAGAACAGCATGGGGCTGGAGTCGTTGATGCGATAAAACACACGGCCCTTCTTGTCCACCCAGAAGGAGATGACGTTTCCCTCATTGGAGAGCTCCTCGGGCAGAGCCTTGGCCCAGAAGCCGCTCTGGGAGACCAGGTCGGGGCAGGCGTACTTGGGCAAGGTGTCTGGGTTGATCCGCGATGGGTCTTTGCACGTAAAACCAAGACGCAGAGCACCACTCCAGCAGCACTGCTTTTTAGTGATCTAGAAAGAACATATTTCTAATCAGTGATGATAATCAGTCTGTATTTTCTTTTTATTGTGTGAACTATAAGTTAAAACAATTCAAGATTATAGCCACGTTACAGCAGCTCTGTGATGCTTTGGGAATTAGTGTGATTTGCTAATTCACTAAAACTAATTTCTGACTGAAATGTCACTGATTCTGCGTGGATTTGGTCTAAAATGTCTGACCTGATGATACATTAGGATTCACCAAAGTTATGAAAGCATCCTGGAAGAGAAATGATTTCAGTGCAAACCAATAGTTGCTGAGATATGCACATCCACACTACCAAGCCACGGACATGGCTAAAAACAACATTTGTTCTAAGCAAACTAACACCAGATACCTCATGTGTTTTTCACCTGCAAACGATTTTTGTCTTATTTCAACCCCGTACTTACTTTGCATTTACTGTGCAAGATAACACTATTCCTCACATGGCAATGCTTGCCCTGCTCTCTCACTTTCAAGACATAGATGGGCAGATAAGTGAAGTGGAAACTTGTTCTAAGCTGCTGCCGCTTTGGCCCACACAAGAGCAGCGAGAGAGAGAAAAGAGAGAAAATGAAAACAGGGGAGCAAAGATGGGGGATGAAGAGAGAGACAGAGGGAATGAGAAGAAAAACAAAAACACACTGAGAGAAAATGAAAGAGAGAGTATCACAGTTTGTGTCTCACCACTCTGCTATACTGATAACGCAAAGTGCAGCATGGAGTAATGTTGATACTGCAATATTTTATAGGCGTCATCTGTGCACTGTATTGTTTTTAATGAAGCAGTGGAAGCCAACAAGATGAACTGGTGGCAGCATAGTGTTTTACATACTATTAATTGCAGATATAGTACTTATATAAAGTATGAAGTTTAATTAGATTAATCCATCCATCCATCCGTTATCGATGCTAATTATCCTTTGAGGGTGGGGGGTTACCTGGAGCCAATTTTGATTTGTGAAACATGTCTCTTCACATCTTAATGAGACACATCTGATTTATCTAAAAAAACAACAAAAAAAAACTGGTTCATTTGTTCATTTTTCATTTTCTGGAGTAAATTTTTAAAAAGCGGAGGTATATGTGCTCTACTGAGTAAATTCTAGTTTTGCTTTAGTCAAAGTTTGGTACTTTAGTCAAACCAGAATAATATATGGCTGCAAACTGTTATAATAAACTCTACCTCATTTTAAACTTACATGCCACTCTTTTTTACTGACTGTTAATAATAAGTTTATCCGTTGCATGTTTTTTATAAAAAAGTCGAGCTCAAAACACAAAAATCCAGCAGAGTCGTGTTTACCTTCAGTCGAACTTGCTCGTACACAGCGATGGGTCTGTTGCTGAACGTAATGGCATTACAGAAGCTGGCCTGTCTCTTAACCGTCCTCTGGGACATGTCCATGATGATCTGCGAGCCCTTGGTGCTGGGGTGAAAGAGGAGAGGGACGGAGGACAAGCCTGCGCATGGCTGAATAGGCAGGCAGCGCTTCGGCTTGTAGTGGCACCGGTGGGATGTTGCGGGAAACGGTGCGTTCAGAGAATCTGTGTAGGGAAGGAAAAGTTGCTGCTTAGATTGTCTCCACAGTGGGGAGCAAAAACTACTTTACTGAAAAGAATGGAACACAATTTACAGAAAATTCCCAAATTTTAGATTTGGAATATAAGATTAGATGGTCTGCACCGCCATAGGCATTGTTTTACATAACAGTCCAATATTATGTCTCATTCTAATCTTCCCTCACATATCTTATCTGCTCATGTAACATCCTGTTAGGAAAGACATTTACATTCACACACCTACTGTGACAATACAAAGGTAAATTACATGCAAAAATGTCCTTGGATGGAAAAAAACCCCACAAGGACAGAATTTTCCCTTGGTTGTGCAAATACAGAGAACAATACAGCTGCGAGAGGTTCTTACAAAATGCTCTAATTTCAGAAAATGACCATTTCCAGTAACACCCATTGCTTTTTGTTATTCTACATCTTGCCAATTTTCGACTGGTGTGTGCTTCTTGTGAGGTTTCTTTCTTTCTGTACTGGAACACGTAGTGTGTAGAAAGAAGGAAAGGAAGCAGGAGGTGGATAAAGGAATGAAAAGATTCATGAAAGGTGCAAACAAAGCAACTATTGTACTTGAGGCTGCTACATGGCTCATGTTTTAATGAGCACATATCAATCATATTGTTTATATGTATGTTGACTCACTACCTGTCAATACTTTGTCCGTATAAGGATATGCCAAAATAAGAGCAGACCGGCATCTGACTCATGGACTGTTTATAAAGATGGAAGATCGAACCAAAAACTCAAAGTACAAGTCAAATATCTAGTTCTTGTCACACTGATGTTTCTCTGGTGTTAATATTCCGTTAAGTTTGTTTTCTATTAGAAATTTGATGCTGTAAAATCAGTAAATATCACTATTGACTCGCAATTGGTCAGGCAACATTGTGCATCGCCAGGACCTCGATACCATAGCTCCATCCCCTGATTTAAATAGCACATATTATATCAACAACACAAGAGAACAGCCTCCATATCCATTTAAGCTTAATTTTATATAATGGCAGGAGCTGGAGGCGCATCCATCTTTATGCATTTTTACCACGAGAATAATTACTCACGTAAGTAATGCGGTCAAACATGTTTCCTTTTTGCATCACATCTCCCATCTGGAGTTATAAACTGATAAAGACCTCAAGTAAAGTTATCATGAGCCTGATGTCATACTCCCTCCCTCTCATTATGAACGACTCTCCCCATCTTTGTTTCTCTTCAGCACAAAGCCACGGTCACTTTGTTGAAGCGACATCATATTCTCATGAAATATAGAGATTTTATGGTTTTCTGTCCTACACTGCTTTAGTCCTCTCCACAATGACATCTAAAGTAAAATAAAATCGAGCCAAAACTCAGTGCTAAATAAATCATCCAGGCCTAATCAACACTTCCTTCTTCTCCTTGAGAACTGCTTGTATTTTCACACCTAAATATGGAAAACTGTGTGGGAGCTGCTTGTTCGCCTGTGAGAGATGTCGACTGTAGGAGTCTGAGAGACAGCTTCTCCCGCTGTCCATTGAGCGACCTTGGAGGGGTGATGTACCCTGGAGACCAATCAATTAGGACTGTCAGGATTGGCAATGACTGATCACATGACCTCTGACACTAGGTCTGTTATATATCATCATTGTTTCGATGGCACGCATGGTAGCGTGAGCTGCGGATGAAGACAAAATTGTAGAATTGCTTCAAACTAGACATACTCTCCACTGTGCATCACGTATTCACAGACTCCCCCTTTAATCACAATCAGAGCGGCTCTGCCAAGTGTTCTGGGCTCAGCACAGTGTAATTGTTCAGATCTTCTCATGCTCTTGTCGCTGCAGAACAATGCTGAATTGTGCTCGGTGCAAAACAGTGGTCTTAAATGAAGTCATAACAAATCCTTCGACCATACTGCGTCCATGATGTCATGTCAGACATGATGTCTTCAGGAAAACAGAATGGGACTGTATTGTACTCAACCAGAGACTGAACAGAGTATTTCCTGTGAGGTCTTAAAACAGAAGAAACAACTCACAGGCCTCTGAGGGCAACTGCAGCAACACCCCTGCGTTTCAATCCAACTGGAGTTTCAGATATTTTCTTTCATTCTGACAAAACTAATCTAACTTCTGCTGCTGTGAATTTAGATTCTCTGGTCTTTATTTCAGGGGCAGCTTCAATTTCACATCCCAGGCGAGTTTGGTTTAGAGCGTTTAGAGCGTTTAGAGCACACAGAGGAACTGGACTGTATAAACCACAAATTAAAGTCAAATAAGTAAATAAATGGATAAATAAAAATACCACGTTTGATTTACTGGAAGCGACAGGTTGGTGAGAGCCAAAAGTGCCGATGATGCAGTGGCTGTTGAGAAGTGTTTAAAAAGCTGTGCAACCTGGCGGAGGAGTCAGGGTAAACAGTGACCAGAGCCCTGTCATGATAAAAGAGGGGTGCCTTGACGAACGTCAGATGAGTAATTTAAGGAAGGATAATGTTGCTTAATGCGCCACCGCACACAATGTGACTTCGCTGTCATTAAGTTGAGAGGACAAACAGAGCGGAGGCAGAGTGGCCCTGGCCAGTGTCACCTGGCCTCCTGCACTCGTTTGATTTGAATCCCCTGAGCAGAGGACCTAATGTGCTGTGACATTAGTATCAAGGTGACGCAGACAGCAGCCTAAAGGAGGCAGAGGGCGGGAGTATGTTTTAATCTCTTGCAAATATGTCGTAGCATGTGTGGTTTACAAATGAGGTCAACAAAAGTGATTCTTCTATATCTAAACCTATAAAACACTTTCAAATTTGAATAAACGAATCTTGTATAACAGTCCACTTATATTCAATCAACCTTCACCAAATTTCACACACTCATAGATATCAGTTCCCCAAATGTGCCGGATTTTTGAAAATGCCTTATCGCACGGTGTTAAAGTAAGTGGGAAAAAAAGATCCCCTGATCCGGATCCACACCAAACTTTTAAGGGGTCTTCCCTGACTTATACTGCATCCTTCCACCAACTCATGAAAAAATCTTCCCAGTAGTCTTTGTATAGTCTTCCTTAATAAACATTCAAACCAATTACCCATGAATATTATCATGTACCAGTCTTTTTATAGAAAAACTGTTTCAAATTCAATTTTATGTTAAAATTCAGATGACAGTATTAAATTGACATAAAGCAGAGGCTGCCTTATCTAACATGTAGGCCATTAGCCACAAAAGCCTGTTGTGCATGTACAGTACAGTGTTTGTACTGTAGAATTTAAGGCTGCAACTAACAATCATTTTCAATTCATGAATCATTTGGTTGTTATTCTGTAGGAAACAGTAAACAAATGATAGTCATGGCTTCCTCATCCCAAAGTGACGCCTTAAAGTGTGAATGTGTTTTTTGTTTTGTCTGATGATATTCAATTCACTGTCAAAGAAGACGCAAGAAAAATAAAACTCTACTTGTGGAGCTGGAACCACAGAATTTGTAAAATTAGTTCCACATTAACTGATCAATTAACTAACTGTTGCAGCTCTAGTGATCTTTAATAATATGTCATCAATTTGTTTCAGAGGTTTTTTTAAAATGTCTTAATGAGGTCATAACAGAAACCAAAACTAAAATACTAATTTTGATGAGCGAGTAAACAAGAGCTAATGGACCCTGTTAATCTCAAAACTGGGATTATCATTTAAACCCTTTAAAACACTCAACATGTTAAACTAATCACCATTTAAAAATAAAAAATGGTCCAACCTCTTGGCTGAGGTCAAGCACTAAACGTCAATAGTACAATCAGGCAGGTTTGCCAAATGTGGAGAGGTGAGAGCTGAATGATTCATGAGCCCTTGAGCTGGACGGGGCCCCTGACACATGACAGGGATTATAGATATTTACATTTTTCGGGGCCCTGATTGGACTCTTGTCACAAGGCCAAGAATGTGTAGCAGCGGCCCTGCCAGCACCTGTGGTCCTTTACAGTGAAATTGGAAAAAATTGGACTATGTGGACTGGCCAGCGTCCATGTGTCCATCTGGGAAATGAGGAATGTTTACTGTTGCCTGGTCATGTTCTGAATAGCAATTACAGTAACTTACAGTACAGTAACATATGTGTCTGTTTAAAGCCAAAGGATATGATCATAATCATCAAATGTCTAGTAAAGTCACTGAAGGCCTAAATAAAATATGCAAGTTTATTGTGAGTCAGGACTGGAACTAATGAATATTGCATTAGTGATTAATTCTGTGATTATTATTCTTCATTAATCGATTAATCTTCTGTCTGTAAAAGGTCAGAAAATAGATGATTTCTTAACGCACGGCATATTTACAGTAATTTATAGTAATACAAACCAATATAAAACTAAAAACTAAAAAAAACTAAAAAAAAAAACTATAAAATTATTAGCAAAACTGTTGTTGATACATTTCCTGCCAATCAAACCAACAATAAATCAAGCGTTGCAGCTTTACGCTAATGCTAAATAAATTTGCTTTTGTCATGGAAACTTTTTATCTTGAACATTAAGTAAATTATTTTAATCAATATATAGAAATGATGAGTCAAACACACTTAATCAACACACATATGATTATTTCAAAGTTAATCTGTGTTCAGCACATTTTATTTACGGTATAGTGAATAGGTGTAACTATATAGGACGTGATTATGTAACAGAGTCAAATGAACGCAATTTAATCCTAATAAAGCTTTTTGCTTTGTAACAATTCATTGTATTTACAATGAATACACCAAATTTTATATTTGTGATGCAGTTGGCACATAAATATTGAAAAGAGCTGAAATGTGAAAATGGATGAAAAGCATCAAATGCACCTGTTACCATGATCAGCTGATGTGAAGAACATGTGACACTGTTTGCCAACATGTTGAGTGTGATCACTAACAACACATAACAAGCCAGGTGGAGAGAAGCAAGTGAAGGTGAGAGCTCCCAGTTTGATTCACTTTGTTTGTAATGACAACACTGTGAACAGGCTGAAGGAGCCTCCAACAAGACTGAGAGAAACTTGCATCTATAAGGCTGTGGATGGTTATCATCACATTCTGAAAAAAAGATCATATCCTCCTTTATTCAGAAACAGTCGTGACTTACAGTAGGTGTTCAAACTTGGCTACAGCAGCTTTTTTATTTTAAGCATCCAGGACGCCTATACAGTTTCAATGCACACATGCAGGCTTGAGGCTGCAGGAGCGCGTCTCTAACTCGATCCCATCTGCTCCTGTTCTATTAAACCACTGATTTCATTCATGACACAGACTCACTTTAGTCTCTCCTGCTCCTGCGATGCCACACACACTTACCGTAGATGGTGTGTCTGGTGATCTGACCTCCCATGGCTGCAGGACGCAAGGTGCGTTCACCTCCTCTGAGAGTATCCGGCCGGTTCCCCGGTTTATTCACATTGAGCCGCGCGTCCTCGGCGGAGACATGGTAGAATGACACGACCCCGCTCACGCACACTCGCACACGCACAGACGCACTGAGAGACAAGTCCCGGCACAGTGGAACAGTGTGTTGGTTCCTCAGCTGCCCGTTGTGACCGTTCGAAGCCTCATCCACAGCGGGCTGCAGCCGCCTCCTGTCAGCGCACGCATCCCGCTGAAATCCACATAAAAGGTGGTGGTGGAGGAGGTGGAGCTTCTGGCTGCAGCCTCCAAACACATAGGAGCCATAAATCACCATTATTTGGTGTCTTTATACACGAGTGCGATGCCATGAAGTTCTCTTATTTTATTTCACCCTCACTTTCAGCAGTTTCTGTATTTGTTAGTGTTGAAGCCTTTTTAAAACAGTTCATTTCTCTCCGGCCCACCTGTTGACTAACCTGTTTGCTGCCCCTCCTCCTCCAACCGCAACCTCCTCTGTCACCTATTAAATACAGGCCGGTTTATAGTTTGGATTGTTTTGGTTGTTGGATTCACACGAGAAAACTCAAACCTTCCTCGAATCATTTCAATCAGCAGATGAGATATAAGAAAAAGTGCAAGAAGGGCTGGGCAATAAAACAATGTTATAAATAGATTTTTCACTCATATATATATATATATATATATATATATATATTCAATATAACAAAATACCTTAATAAGCACAGTAGGGAGGTATAAAGTGCTCATTATAATAATAACAATAATACATTTTTATTTCAAGTTGCATTTCTGGACTCTGAAGTATAACCTTACAATATATCATTAATAAACACATGGATAATTAAGAGGCTAAGACACCTAACTGTACATATGAAGAAGAGTTTAAAACCACAACCTTCACTCAGGAACAAAACTCAGTTTTTAAACGCTTTCAATTGCTCTGAAGCACAGGTTATTTGGGGACCTAGCCACCGGAGGCGCCGTTGCAAACCTGGCTGAGTGAAGCTACACAGGTGAGTGCTAGTTTGAGATGCTGCTCTGCTGTAAGTTGATCCACCGGTTGTTTTCATGTGTTTGCGTCCAGAGGAAAGTGAGTTTGTTGTTTATTAGTCAGCTGCATTTTCACTGATTCTGTGTTTAGCTTTGTTACTTGTGACAAGAGTGTTTCAGGTTCATGTTAGCTTGTGTATTGTTAGCTTGTGCATTGTTAGCTTGTGCATTGTTAGCTTGTGTATTGTTAGCTTGTGTATTGTTAGCTTGTGCATTGTTAGCCTGTGCATTGTTAACCTGTGTATTGTTAGCTTGTGCATTGTTAACTTGTGCATTGTAGCTAAGCTGGTTATTGTGTTTACAACAACTGAGCTGGTATCAAGAGCTGCACACACACACACACACACACACACACACACACACGCACGCACACACACACACACACACACACACACACACACACACACACACACACACATTCCTTCAAATTCAATTTGATTATAACTGTGAGTAGCCGTTCCTGTAATTATTGAGTCTCGGTCACATCAACTGATTTGACACATTTTTATTTAAATATAACTTTTTAGCAATATGACCCACTCAAAGTGTACTGACAGTACTGACTAGAATTTATAACCCACTGAAAGAAACCCACTCAAACCCCCGTCCACAGGAATTGTGTGAAAGTGACAAATAATGCAAAGATACAGGATTCCCATCTTGATATTTAAGGTTTTGTTGGGCTGTGTTCAACTAAAGCCAGTGTATTTACTCCAGTGTTTCAAGATCTTCTTGGCAGCCTGTGGGACCATAAACGCTGATTTATTATGACAGTGGAGTTGCCACATTGACCAGGCAAAGGCATCACTGGCTTCAGGCATAAAGTGATGCTGAGAAATTATGCTCCAACAGCAAGACTGTGTAGTAGATTAACTTCAGCTTTGATTTTTGGTCTTTGAGGCTGAGTAGTACATTTAATGTGATTACATGATAAAACCTGCACAGATCTATTTACTTTCATTGCAACTTTTAAAAAGTTTAAATTCATAGATCACTGCCAGATGCAATCTACCATCAAAAGTGTAGTTTAATACATTTTTGTCCTTCAACTTTTCCTATAAAGTGATGGAACAACTCGTCGGGGTGTCTCTGAAGTGTCTGGCTTCAAAGGTTTAGAGTTGGCAGTAATGGCCCCTCGTTCCCAGCGGGCACCTCTCAGGATCTGCCTTGTCGTCTTTGCTTTTGCATAACTTGTGTCGGCAGCCAGGCCTGTGAGACTGCATTGGCTCGGTAGCATGGGCTATACTCTCATATTGTTTATACAAACTGATTGCGGTCAGCTAGGCTGTCTGTAAGCAATTTGCAACAAGGGTAAAGACATACAGTACGACTCTGGGTATTTCATGCAGCATTTACGTTGCGATTTTCACTTAAAAAATAGTCAAACATATTTTATTTGTCACAGGAAATTGAGATGGACTAAAAATATCAAAGCAAACAGTGTGGACAGAACACTAAGGAATTTATGACATGGGCCCAGTGGCTATGGCAGTCACACTTAATGGAATTTGACATGCCACCTGATCACTGGGCTGTCAAAATCTGATGGGCTGTTCTGTAGCACAAGGAAAAGTATTGTTCAGTGTGAAATAATAAATCATGATGCCTTGAGTCCTGTAGTGATATCAAAGCAGCATGCCACTAATCATGCACTGATAAAGGTTGCCAACTCTCTAGCAATTACACAATAAGAATTACAAAACAGAAAAAGCTAGGAACATTTCTGCCTAAATTTGGCTTAAGACTTAACACTCCTGCACACCAGAAGACATGTGCCATTGGATGTACAGTATGCATATTTCTGGTATGCAGGCAGTAGTACAACATCTCATCCGTTGATGTTTTGTAAACCACATAGGCACAAGAAACACAGGCTGGTGTTTGTCATCATTTTGTGTCTCTTTGAGGTCGCTTAGCATCTCTCTGTTATTGTTTTGCGTCTCTCTTGACTTTTCTTCAAGATTTGCAAAAAGTCTCTTCAAAAAAGAACCTTTTTTTTGCAGGATGCCTAGCAATCAATCCATGCACAGGAGTTGCAGTACAGGGATTTAAGGACCAATGTGTATTGGCAAATTAATTATGTTTTCATAAATGTGTAATCACCAGCAACTAAGAATTGTTATATTTTCATTACATTTATATAAGACTTGCATATCTATATAAGGAGCCCACCATGCTACGCCATCATGTACCAGAATGAACACTGGCTTCTGAGAGTTCATTTTGCATTTTTACGTTACCTGAACTCCACCATATATAGATATGCTTGTACAGAAAGGGGTATTATCCTTTTATCTGAAACCTCGACTCTAGATGTCATTAAATCCTTTTAGTTTCCAAATTGGCATAAATAGTACTACAGTATATTCCCAGCACTTGTATTAAACAATTATTATCACCTATCTCTGTATGAGGTCTTTAACATCCGTAAGTACGCTGTACACCCCGACAGAACAGACTGATCCGTCCTCCCACAGTAGATTATTTGTAGATTGGTCGCCTGGCAGGCAGCAGCTGCCTGGTGGGGTGTGCTGGCATGGGGCCTCCGCAGACATCTTGACAGCCTTGTTCTAGGCAGCTATGCGCATGCTTGCTCTCTTCGGGGATGATCTGTGTTGAACAAAAACACCATTCAACTCAGAGTTTGGCCCCTCGCCCCGGAGCCATATGCAAAACATTACAAAGCAACACAAGAGCATCATATGATCCTCAACAAGGGGGTGTCAACAGAGACGGAACCCCACCCAGCAGGCATGTATCAGAGGTGAAATCAAGTTGTCACATAGCATTCAAATGTGACTTAAGATAGATACTGAAGAAAACTTTATTTATCATGCAATTGGGATCAGGCAAACTGAAGCCAGAAGGGACTCACAACATTACTGACATTACACACTTACTGATACACAGTATCCAGAGGCTTCAGTTGCTTTTGTGCAAAGGCTTGTAGACCTAACAAGACAAACTTAACTTTATTATAAGTTGGTTTAGACTTTATTTAGCCTGGCCTTCACTGGTGTTAGGTGATCCAGGGACTGATGAACTGATCATTGTTTAGAGTATATGTGTTAAAATACCTGAGGTGTGACTTTTACATGACAGCAGTGTTTCACTGTTTCAGTGATTAGCACTGAACCGAATTGAACTGAACTGAAGCACCGGCTTCCTTCCAAAGTCCAAACACATACAGATTGGAGTTAGGTTGATTGGACACTCTAAATTGATCTTCAGTGTAGATATGAGTGTGATTGTTGTTTGTCTCTGTATGTGGGCCCTGCAATGCGCTGGCGACCTGTCCAGGTTGTACCCCGCCCTACTCTCAATGTCAGCAGGGATTGGATCCAGCCCCCCTATCTCATCTAACCAGAAAATTAATAACATGAACTCTAAAGACTTGAATTTGACATGCTCCATAAGGCTTAAAAACATTACCATTTGTTAGAGTAATACAATATCATATTCTGTATTCTTCTAATTTGCTTTGTTGTAAAGGAGATTCCTTATTACTCTCTCACCCACATTTTAATCAAAACTCCAGTGACTCTTGAATAACAGTCAGCCACACCCTGTATTCGCCCCCACAGTCACATATCAGCCTTCTCCTGCTGACTGCTGACGTTAGAGGAGTCACAATACAGTAAAAAATCTCCATCGCATTTCTCAGTTGTTTGCAGCCAAACAATTGCACTGCAGGTCCAGACGTCATCTTTTCTGTTTTCCTCTACGAATATCCTTTGTTGTAAAAGGCACCAAAAGTAACACCAGACCACGTCCCCAGAACGCTGGAAAATAATGAGGTACTCTGGGAAATTTGATATGCGTTTTACATCTGCTCTTTTTTTCCCTTTTTATTCCATTGTTGAGAAAGATGGTCCCGTTAACATGAGCAGTTTGGGAGATGACAGGGGCTGAATCACCTTAAATGAGTCAGTCAACTTCAATAGAGTTCTTACTGGTGTGGAGTGAGAAAAAATGACAGATTTCATCCCGGAAACAAGAAGAAACTACCTCTGCCAAGATTGATTGGCCTTTTTATTTCTTGAGAAATTTACAAAAAAACGCCATATCTCTCTTGATTAAAGAAAGGAAAAAAAATGGATCCACCCATTTTTCTGGGGTTCTTCC